GCACAACTAAAGACACTCATGAAAGAGGACTTCAAGAACTTCTCCAGAAAATGAGCAGAACAATGGGCTAAGTGTATCTGAAGCAAGGAGTATTTAGGTGGGATTAATGGCAATGTATCTTTTATTGTAATTTTTATTTAAAAACAGCATACTTTTTCATTACACTGTGGCAATGATCAAATTTGGAGTAGGTTTCCATCTCTTTAAACATTTCAGAAATGTTTGATGAACATGTAATAATTGTACATATTCATGAGGTAGAATACATAAATATAATGCAAAATGATCAAATCAGGGTAACTAGTGTTTCTACCTCCTTACCATTATTTTGTGTTTGGAGGCTTCGAGCTCCTCTCTTCTCTTTACCTTTAAAGCATATAATAGGTAAACTACAGCTACCCTACTCTCTTGTGGAACCTAAAACTTATTCCTTCTAGATGCATTTTGGTGTCTGTTACCGGGGTTCAGCCTTCTAGCCTCCAGGGATCATTTTCCACATCCAGCTTCCACACGTCTTTCTGTTTCTGACTTGTTTCACTTAGCATCATGTCCCCATTGTTCTATTTTACTGTAAGTAGGGCATCAATTTTTACGACCAAATAGTATTCCATTGTGTGTGTGTATATACCACATTTTCCTTACCCATTCAAGCAGCATCCAGGTTGATTCCATACCTTAGCTACTAGGAATAGAGAAACAAGAAAGATGGGAGTGTATCTCTTTGATCCCTGATTTCATTTCCTTGAGATGTATACCAGTAGTGAGATGGCTGGATAGTATGGTAGATCTATTTTAGTTTCTTGGGGAGCCTGCATACTATTCCATAGTGGCTGTACTAGTTAGTTAATATTTCCACCAACAATGTGTAAGAGTTCCCTTTTGTCTATCCTCATCTGCATTTCTTCTTTCTTTTATTAGTAGCCATTCTAACAGGTAAGGTGGTAATTCATTAACTGTAGAGCAACACAAGCTGTATTTTCAGGAACAGATCCCCCAGGCATGAAGCCCCCAGCTCTCCTCCCTCCACCCCCACTCCTTGGTAATCAGGACACATCAGCCTTTAATGGAAGCTCCACTACATTCCAGGGAGAATGGGAGTTGGAGCTGAGTCATCACCCTCCCTCCTAACTGAGGCTGTCTTGAGGTGCAGGCTGTGGAGCTGCTGCTAGATTGCAGCACTGTTTGCCCCCTTTCAGCTCCCAATTGTCGTGTTCTCTTGTAACTGTGAGCACCAGATGCAGTAGTTTCCCTGGTGCACCCACTTAACCAAGAGGGAGGATTCTTTACACACCAGTGGCCTCCACTTGATGTACCTGGACCTTCTTCACAGACACCATAGGGAAGCCCATCCCACTCCTCCGGCCACAATGAGATGTCTGGGCAGCAGAACACACATATTGCCAAGGTTCTCCAAGTACCCAAGTTCCCTTATTTCCTCTGGCTAAGATGCATGGGGCTAGTATTTCTGCCCTCCTCATGGTGAAGAGGGGTAGTGAAGTGGGAGGCAGTAGCCATCTGGTGGAGCAAGGAACCAGGAAGGATATGGATCCTTTATTCATGAGAAGGAAGGCACTATGGCCATGGAAAGAGGAGGAGAGAAAGAAGTATTATTGGCCCCATCCCTAGCCCCAACCCTGCTGCTCCTTTGAGCTCTTTTAAACTTTTCCATTTCCCTTGGCCACTGTCCTGGTCAGCATGGTAGTGAGGAGTCAGCATAACAACCATGGTAAACACTGAGTGTACAGTTAGTGCTCAAAAGTAGCAGCCATTATTACTGCCAGGATCAGAATCCATGTTAGAGCCAACTCCATGTGAGGTCAGAAGCTACAGAGAAAGAGTGAACCCAAACTTTGCCTGGAGAAAGAAAGAGAGCAACAGTTTAGGTAATGAGAAAGTATCAAGGAAAAAGTAATTCTGTGAAGACTCCATTAAGTGGAACCCAATAGCACAGGCATATAGCTGCAAAGGAGTCTTATAAATGTATAGCAGCCTTCAATTCCAAACAGGAGAATATAGATCAAGGTACAGTGGATATTGGGAGATAACTAGCTGTCGTTCAAGTATTCCTTAGGAATGTTCCTTCACTTCACAATTCAACCTTTTAACTGTGGTTCTTCAGTATCAGCCAGGTTATGTATGCAAATGACAGAAAGGAACTCTGGCCAGTTTAACCAGAATAGGAATTTATTAGAAGGCTATCTATGCACTCACTGGATAATCAAAAAGGCTAGAGAACCAGGCTCAGAATACAGCAGGAGCCCAGGGAATCCATCCTTAGATGCCCCTCATGACTCATCAGCAAACTCAAGCTTTCCATGTCCAGATTCAAAGACAACTTTTGTAGTTTAAGAAAAATTATCTCAAATTATACCACTTAAAATCTCCAGAGCTTTTGTATTTCAAGGAGCTTTTGTGTTTGTTTGATTTTTTTCTCATAAGTCATGGAGGGACTTATTTTCTGGGCAAGGTGCAACTCTTCAATGCACCACATACTGTTAATAAGTAATAATTACTTCAGCATGACATTATGGATAAATTACCCTGCACCTCAATCAGATAAAGTGCTTAGCACACACTGACATATTTGGGGATAGGAATCAGCTCCTGTTTGAAGGAAGGTAGGTATCTTACTTTATCACTGCTGGGACAAAATATTCAAACCCCACAATTTAAGGAGAAGTTTGTTTTGGCTCATGTTTTTGAGTTTTCAGTCTATGGTTGATGGTGCCTACGCAGAAAGAGCATGACATCAGGGGAAAGCTACTTGTGTCATGGCAGCCAGGAAACAGAAGAGGGAAAGAAGTTGAGGGGGGGAGACCCTTCTGCATCACGCCCCCAGTGACCCACCTCCAACCTGTCTCCACCTCCTAACAACAGCCTATCCAACTCTGAGCTCATCTGTGGACGAACTCACTCATGGTGAGTACAGTGCCCTCAGGCTGACTAGATCTTGCTGTGCAGTAGAGAAAACAGGCACCGACCTACACACCCTGTACATGGGGATCTTTTCGATGTTGAGGTTTCCTGAGACCAAATGATGTATGCATTTCATAGTATAAAAATTAGTTTTAGGGGCTGGGGATTTAGCTCAGCGGCATAAGCGCCTGCCTTGTAAGCAGGTAGTCATGAGTTCGATCCCTGGTACCGATAAAAAAAAAAAATTAGTTTTACAAAATGTATGGTACTACCAAATGTTGGTGGAGATGCAGAGAAATTTAATTTTTATGCATTGCTGATAGAGGTGTGAAGTAATCTGGCCATATGGAAATAAGTTGGGAGTCTGTTCTTTGTTTTGTTGGTTTGCCTTGGTTTTGGGTTGTGAGACAAGGTTTCTCTATGGAGTCCAGACTAGACCTGAGCTTTCTATGTAGCCCAGGCTATCCTGGATTTCAGGTTCCTCCTGCCTCAGCCTCCCAAGTACCCAGTTTATGTTGGCAGTTTCATTAAAAACTAAATGTACACCTAATATATGACCCAACAATTGCACTCCTGGGCTTTTTTCCCAAGGAAATGAAAAGTTATATCTGGGTGAAATCCTGTACATGATTGCTCATTACATCTTTATTTGTAATAGCTAAAAACTAAAGACAACCAAAATATTCTGTGGTAAAATACAATGCTACTCAGTAATTTTTAAAAAATAACTAATACCATAACTTATCTGGAACCTCAAGGGTATTTTGTTGAGTGAAAAATCCAATCTCAAAAGGCTTATTTGTACTTTGTTCTATAAATGATAAATGTAGAGGAGAATAAATTAAGAATGGACAAGAAAGGGGACTGGGTGTGGCTATAAAGAGGTCACACCAGGGACATCTCTGTATGGATGGGGTAGTTTGGTATCTTGGTTTCTGAGGTGGTTCATGAATCCACATTGTGATTACGTAGTGCAGGACCATGTACAGTCAGCCTCTTTATGTCTATGAGCCCCACATTTGCAGAGTCAATGGGTGGAGTCATGAAGTGGTAATGTCCCAGCACTGGGCACGAAGTTCAGGGTAAAGCCAGTGCTGGGTAAAAGTTCAGAGTAGAGCACTTGCAGAGTGTGCATGAACTCCTGGAGGGAGAATAAGGGGAAACTGCATCTGTGTTACATCTATAGATTTTTTTGTCACTACTCCTTGAACAATGTACAACAAATATTTACATGGCATTTGCATTGCCTTAGTAATACATAATCTAGAGATGACTTAAAGTACTTGGGAGGATTGTGGGAGTTATTGGAAATACAGTGCAGTTGTACACAGGGGACTTGAGAGTTCGTGGATTTTGATATCCATGGGGATCTTGAAGTCAACCATCTGCAGATGCCATCTATGTATATGTAAGTTGAACCAATGAGAAAATGGAGTGAAGGGCATCTGGGACCTCTCTGTAGTAACTTTACAACTTCCTGTGAACTTATAATCACTTCAAAGTAAAAAGTAGAAAACAAAGGGGGACCAGCCCCCTTTAAAGGGGAGCGTTCATGTACATCATCCTCTTTATTCTAATAGTGTAGAGAGAAAAGGCAATAGTGCATGTCCCCCCTTTTTAATGGAGAACCTGTTTACTTGTTACCGTGACCAAGGTAGTGGGAGATTAGGCCTGAGGAACAACTTTCTGATTTTCATTCCTTCAAAAGTGTGTCAGAGGGGACAATGCTGAGAAAGTGGTCATGCAGAGCGACACAGAGGGTGGTGGGAAGCAGACTGACACTGATCAGTGTGTGCAGGTGGCTGTCACAGCTGGCCTCTCACCTGTTCAAGTGATGCTACCACTGCACCACTCAAAGCCTTTGGAGATCTCATTGCCCAGAGGAAAAACAACAGAGTGCAGGATTGATTTTTCATTTTGCTTTATTTTGTTTAGGCAGGGTCTTGCTATATAGTTCAGGCTGGTCCTGAACTCACTATGTAGCCCAGGCTGGACTCAAACTTGAGGCAACCCTCCTGCATCAGCCTCCTGAGTTCTAGGACTCAGGTGTTATCATCATGCCCAGCTTTGTTTGGTATTTTAGAAATCATCATGTCGAAGTCCTCATAAGAGACATTGGGATCTCCAACTGCATGCAAGAGCAACCTGGAGAGACTTTGACAGCTCAAGTCAATCCCATACCTGTGGCTGCCACTCACCTTTTCTATAAGAAAAAAGAGACAAAGAGGATTTTGCAGCACACGCTGTGTAAAGGCAATGTGGCAGACCTCATTTGACCTTGTATGCCCCTCAGAAGCAAAGGATGTCTTCTTGCTCCCTTTTGCACACAGCAAGCACCTTTGCTGCTCCTCTCCCTTTCTCATCAGCCTCCTTATGATGTAGAAAAATCAAGTTCTGTTCAGCTTCTGCCTCCAAACTTGCGTGCCCCTCCTGCCTTCCATGAAAAGAATACCATAGCGGGAGATTATTTTCTTGTAGTCCTGGAGGCTGAAGTCCAAGCTTGAAGGTGAAAGCGAGCCAGCTCCTGGTGAGGGCGCTCTTCCCTGCTCACAGAGACCTGCGCTTGGTGGGGTCTCTCAGAGTGCGGTGTGGGGAGGGGTTATAAATCATGGCTCTCGGCCCAGAGTCACAGCCCTGTTGGGTTAGGCCCCGCCCTTGTGACCTCACTGGACCTTGATTATCTCTAAAGACTCTCCAGGCACAATCCTCCAGGAGATGAGGGTGGGCTTCAAGCTATGAATTTGGGGAGACACAATTCAGTCCATAACACCATTCCCTGTAATCTAAATAAGGACCTTCCAGCCACCAGAAAGTTCCCTCCACCCTTTGACTGAGTGGGAAGTCTTTAGTTTCCTCTAAGGCTTTGATTGTCAGAGCCTACTGCAAGCCTAACTTGGTCCTCTGTGAGAAGGTCTCACTGGATCCTTATGCACCCATGAGAAGACCCCCCTTTTTGTCTGCACACTTCTATATTTTGAAGTAAGCAAAATGGATGTGTACAGGGTGTGGGGGTTGGTTCTTTGAAAAGAACTGTTCTGAAAATATCCTTGTCGGGTTGAATTCATCATTAACCTAATTAGACCCTTTATCCAAGGCTTACAATTAGTAGGATTACCAAGTCTTGGCAACTAACTGCTGTGTTTCTGATTTAACTTTCACCTGGAGGGACATAAAGGTAGTCATCACTTTCTAAAATATCTCTTATTTAAGTGTTGTGATTGTTCTTTAGATTTCCAAGAATAACAGTGATCTGGCATAGCAAGCAAGAGATACTTAGGTTACACTCTTACGGAAACACAGAGAATGCTTCCCTTACACCTTTTACATTACACAAACTGGATATTGTTTTCCTGCTGTGGCCTAGTGGGGTCCCCAGATTGTTAAGAACACAATTTGCAGAGCTACCCATCTGTTTTTTACAACCGTAATTCTTTCATGTATAAGATTTGCGCCAAACTTTTCTACGAAGCCTACAAGCAGAGGCATGGGCAGGTCCTGAGGGACCTGGCATTTCCCCCATTTTCTCATGGTCTAATGGAGTGGTTCTGTTATATGTAGCTGTCTCTCTGTCAAAATGAACTTTTACCTTTGCTTTTAGAGGTTCTTAAGACAATCCAAGGAGACCCAGGTCATGGCATCTTAGTAAGTGGGCCACTCAGGACACATGGACCCCTGAAGACATCTGTGTGCCCAGCTGAGATGAGCAAGTCACAGCTAAGAATAGAGTCATAAGGAACAGACCCTTCAGTGAGATGGAGCTGAAAGTGCGGGGGGGGGGGGTGTCTAAAGACCCAGAGAAGTCATCCCTGGAGGGATGGTGCTTGTTTTGATGGCATCCTTCACTAAACTGTGAAGTCCACTGATTCCTCAGTCCCAGCTCAACTCTCAAGCAGCTTTAGCTGTGCAGCTGGTACCCTGTGGGACGTGCAAGACACACACGGATCAGGTAGGATCCAGGCAGGGCATTGCACAAGCCCAAGCAGTGTGGTAGAAGGTGACAGGGTTCAGGCTCCAAGCCTAGCCAAGAGCTTTAGAGCTTAATCAAATAGCAGAATGCCCTTGGATGGCCTAGTAGCAGTGGAGGAGGCGGATTGGCTCAGCCACTCGTGGGCTCCGGTGCTTCCCAGTGAGATCACAGGCCAAGGTTAGGAATCTGATGAGGCTGTGGAAGTGATGTCTTCTATCCTAAATGATCCAATGAACAGATGCATTCTAGGACATTTTCTCCATTACAGACAATGAGATCGAGGCTTTATTTGAATTGATGAAGGTGTAATGCTGTGTTTGGGTCTGGCACTCATTTTGGGGGCAACCCCTCTGTGCCTGGCCCAGAGTCAGAACCAGCAGTGCTTCTGGGTTCTGAATGGAGTAGGGAGAAATACTTGGTTGCAGGAACAACGAGGCCTCTCTGCTGGTCTCCCTTGGTACAGCCCGTGGATTCAGAGCACCCTTCCCCAGTGCTGTGTGGGCTTGGGAAGGCAGCCTGGGGAGCCTCCACAACTCCTCTGGGTTCTCTGGATGGTGTCAGTAATTAAAGGAGGGTTCCCGGGGCTGAATGGGGGAGGTGAAGGCCCAGGGAGGAGTGGGGCAGGAAGAGAAGCTGAGCTGTGAGGAGTCAGAGCAGTCCTGGCTTCGTTTGCCCAATCAGTACAAGGCTGAAATGTCAGCTTAAAGACTGGTGACCAAGGCGGTGGCCTAAATGAGCAAAGTGACGGGTGATGGGACCTTGCAGGAGGCTTACCCTTGATGGCTTATAAAGATTTTGAGAAGCTTTGCCTCATGGTGCAGATAAAAGGTGATGATCTGTGTACACGGAGCTAGCAAGGTGGAAGATCCCAGCAAGAAAGAGGCTGTTTAATTAGCTTTCCTGTTATTGAACAAAATATACCCTACACCTGAAATTTAAAGGAGGCGAGGTTTAATTTGGCTCATGGTTTCCGAGGTTTCAATCCATGGTTGACTGGCTCCAAGGTGGCACAGCCTAGCAGAGGAAAACTGCTCAACCCAAGGAGTCTGGCAGCCAAGAGAGAAAGGAGGAGCCGGGGAGGGAGGCGCACCCCTCCCTGCTTTTTCTCCTTCCTAAACCCAGGTCAGTTGTGAACTCACCACTCGGTTAATCCCCCAGGATCCAAGATTCGCTCACCATCCCAAAATCCCGACTAGGAACACGCAAGACCTTTGGGGTCATTTTAGGGCCAAACTCTAGCAGGGTGGCACATCGCATCCCCTCACGGCCATCCTCCCTCCCTGTGTGGTTTGTGCTGAAGGCTGTGCCCGCCTGCAGTGCAGTTTCTATGCTAAACAATGAGACAGCAAGGAAAGGCATGGAAGTGCATATCCTCCTTCCTGACCCAAAAGTGTACCAGTAGGTCCACGGAGGAGGGGCTGTTGGCCCAGGCCTTGCTGGAGCATCCTCCCAGCCCTTTCTTAGGCCTAATACACACATCTGCCTTATTGAATTGTCTCTGTCACTTCCATACAAAAATAACTGTTGCATAGGGAGCCAGGCGTGGTGGCACCTGTAATCTGGGCACTCAGGATGCTGAGGCAGAAGGATCACCACACAAAATCAAGGACAGCCTGCACTGCAAAATGAGCCCTGTCTCAAGAAGCAAAAAAAAAAAAAAAAAAAAAGATAAATATGGGGTTTATTAGTACACTAAGCTATTTCTGACCTCACGACCAGAGACTTAGTCTTAACTACCTTTCTAACACCAATGGCCATGAGCACAGTGCCTGGCCCAGGCTAGCACACAGTGAGTTCTATCACAGTGAGTCACAAAATCCTGCCATCCATGTCCCAATTCAGTGACCACAGAGTACTGCATACCCCTGGTCTAAGGGACTGCTCCCAGCTAACTCATTCCATTAAGTAGGCCTTGCAGCAAGATTATTTTCCTGTAAGAATCAGTGATTTTAGGAACAGGTGCCCAGCCTGGGCATGGCTAAGTCTGACAGACAGCAGCTCAGACAGTGCAGGAGCTGTCACTCAGTCCTGCTGGGTTGTGAGAGACCCTTCCTCCACCGGGTGACCTCATTGCTAAGCCACTGCTAGAGTATTGTCACTGAAAACACCTTGCAAGCTTCTGAGCTGTTTTCTTCCCACATCCATCTCCTCTTCCCTGTCGCTCACATTGGAGTTGAAAGTATTATGTCCATGGCCTTTGCAGGCTGCTCGAAGGACCACACTGTGGCTCTGATTGTGTATGTCAGGCATTTGTGAGGGATGGTGCCACCAGGGACAACCTCCCTGCCCCTGAGAGTCTATTGGGCCAGATGAGAGGCACTAGGCCAGTCTTTGGAGAAAAACATCTTAGTCTGGTTGTTTTCGATGGCACTGAGATGTGAGGTTGAGACGTGAGAAGGTCTAGAAGATCAGGTTGACTGTCTCACGGTGGATCAGCTATCCTGCATGCACTCCCAGAGGGCTTGCTGGGGATGTGGGTGGGGTGGAAAAAGCCAGAACTGAGCACGCAGATGTTCAGGGACAGAAGCCATCCATCTGCCCTGGAGACATGCACGGTTTCATGTTTGAGACAAAGATCACTGTCCCTGGGAGGAGGAGAGGAACTGAGGAACAGAGTGCACAGAAACACCCTCACTCATCCTTCAACAGAAAGATTTGGTGATTGCACTTTCGCTACTGACATTTACTGAGTGTTTATTATGCATCTTACACTGTTCTAAAAAGCGAAGACCTGTTAATCCTTTAATTTTTGCAACTAACCAATGATGCAGATACAGATATATAAACATTTAACAGGTGAGGAGTGAGGCCCACAGAGCTCAGGTGGCCTGCCATGGCTGTGCTGCTCTAAAGGGGAGGACACCCATCCCCACCCCCACTCCCTGGTCTACCAGGCAGAAGAGCCATCCCCACCCCCTTCTGCCTTTCAAGTGCTGTATGCTGCCTCCCAGCCTGAGCATCTCCTCCGAGAGGAAGATGGGGTCTGCTCCCAGCTTTCAGTGTTCCTTCCTTCAGGCAGGACAGTCAGAAATGAGTACTGAGGGCCAGGATGCACACTTGCCTAGCATGTCAAGGTCCTGTTCAGTTCCAACACACTAAAGAAGAAATGAAGTGGGCAAAGACTAGATGCTCCTTCCAGACAGCCAGCCCAGACTCTTCTCCCTTCTCCTTCCATCCTGATCTGGGACGTAAGCCTTTCAGTGAGGCCAGCTACTCGGGGCCACACCTGCTGAGCCCCACTCCC